AAGAACATTTACAATTTTTGATGTTATTGGCATAGAAGCGAAAGTAGCAGCACACACATGATTGCAGACAGACGTCTGGCCAAGACGAAAGCACAAGCAAAAGTGATCAGTTCATAGAAAAAAGGGAGGGAGTCGAAAGTTTCAATTTTTTTTGTTTTGGTTTACATCGGTGATTGGTCAAGAGGCATCTGCATTAAGGGTTATGTAAGATTGCATGATTAATTTTAATGACACGGTTTAGAATTAAGCTGTATTTTTAGGACAGATAGATGAAGTTCCCAAATGAAATAAAAAATGAAAGAGGTTATAGTGAATAAATTTAGAAGTTTGCTTTCATATTTTTTTATCTTACATATATATTATATGAAACTTGCATGTTATGCTGTCAGTCATGAAAATGTTTCTAATCGGTACGATTTAGGATTAATTATGGATAAATTTGATGTAACAATGCAAGTGCACTTTCAACTCTAACAAGAATGTAAATAAACTTTTTGCTGTATTTTTTGTGCCTTTTTTTTAAAAAAAAAATAAAGAATGATTAAAATTTAAAATCTGTCTTCTTCAGAACAGTAAGTAGTTCTACATAACAGTAAGTAGTGTATTTTTTCAGTGTAAGTTATGGGATCTTACCCTGAAAAAATGTGTACAGTACAAAGTCCGTAATCCGGACTCGTTGGGACTTCGGCGATTCCGGATTAGGGTTTTTTTCCGGGTTATAGATCATCAATTTAAAATCTGGTAAGATGGCATGCAGAAGTTATACAGTTAAAAATCTGAAATCGTAATTTATGAAATAAAGAGCAATTATGATCTAAAGGGTATCAAATTTTACAAAAAAAAAAAAGCTTAATATTTATTTGTTTACTTTATTAAATATTTCTTTCAACGCGTGCATGCGTAAAGCATACATTACGCATAGTCGAAATTAGAAAATTGGAATCAGAGAACTATTTAATGTGTATATGTGATATTTATAATGACGAGGAAATTGATTTAAATCATATCAAAGATGGAGTACATCAAGATGAAATACTACATTTAATAAAGAATTATAAGCCAAATAAAATAGAAACATCTGCCCTGAAGATGAGGATAGTGCTGTCAGATCAACTTCCAGTTCATTGCGTGCTGCGACGTCCCCCCCCTGCAGAGCAGCACGAAATTGATAAACAGATTTCGAAATGGTTAGAGAAACAAATCATTAAGCCAAACTGTTTTGATTACGCAAGTAATATTTTGCTAAGTAGAATGCAGTTCATTTAGACTACGTCTGAACTTAACCGACACTTGAATCCTGTTAAATCCCTCTCCGAATATTTAATTGCCATGTGTAAGGGTTATTCAAGTACTAACACGCAAAATAAAGCACGGGCTATACCAAATATGAGTACAGAACCAAGGTGTTATGGCACGTCATGTATGCGCATTCTTTACGCACGTGCGTAAAGCATACAAAAAAAAAGTTTGTGGCTTTGAGGTCCGGATTATAGATCATTCTGGATAATGGGCATCCGGATTACGGACTTTGTACTGTATTAATGGACAATATGTGGCCAGTTGAATATAGTCAGCTAAACAGTAATACGTTGGAACTATAGAAGTTTGTACTCTTAACAGAGTCGTAGCTAGGGTTTTCAGCACCCAAGGGCAACTGAAGATTTTGCGCCCCCTACTGCTTGCCAACGATGGAAAACATTTAATTCTAAAATGTCGTAACATCAATTTGGCGCCCCTTGGATTCTGCGCCCGGGGACAGATGTCTCCCCTTGCTCCCTCTAGCTACGCCCCTGACTCTTAACATTCTAAACAGTACTGCCAGTAAAATCGGCTCTAACAAAATAGTAGAAATAGATGAAAGCACAACGATCTTTTTGCAAAGTGCAGAAAGGAAGCGTTTTGAATATTGATTGTTTATTGAATTAAAAAGGCATTAATTCCTTCAGAATTCCACAAGAGCACTTGGTGCAGATTTGACAGAATCTCCACCAACTTTCAGCCAACTTTTGCAGCTAATGTGATAATACGTAAGTACTGAATTTTCTGAAGATGCGTACTAGAAGATTGAAAATCCGTTCATCTAAAATCCACTAATGCCCTGAGCCAGATTTATAAAACTGGACGTCCAAGACAAAACGCTCATATAGGCCTCTCCTCTAAATATTTTTAGTATAGCGGATGTCATTGATATGAATTATATAGAATATTTCATAAAATAACTTACTTATTTATTGCTTTTTTGAAAATTAAAAATATGTTAAATCATTCTGTATTTTTTCTTTTCGAGGTTTCAGTTCATTATGTGGGTTGGAGTAGATTTAAGGGTGCCCCTTAGATTATCGCCAAGTTGTTTATTTATGGTAACCTGAGTAGTTGAATATTATGGAAACCCTATTATAACATAATTGGTGCGTGATTATGGTGAATTTGATTGATGGTAAAAAGATTTGTAAGGGTTTGTGTGTGTGTTGGTTAAGATGTGCATTGATTATTTTGTGTTTTACATGGTAAAATGGCTGAATGTGGTAAGATTAATTTGAATTTCTGTACGATTTGGGAAAAAAGCATATATATTACTGGTGTGTAAATGAAGGTTTACTTAGTAGCCATAAGTGTCCTGTTTGTAGGAAGGAAATGCGTGTCGTCGAACACAGAGGATACTTGCGTTATGGAGGATATTTTTGACTCACTTTTATGAATTTATGTGACGATGCCAGTATACAGATTCTATTTTAGATAATTTTAGGAAGTTTTTGGATGCTGTTAAGGAATTTTGTTTGACTGAAGACATGAAAATTTGTAAATAAGTTAAGTGGATATTTCGTGGATATTTCCTTTGTGTAGTGCTGAGATGAATTTCCTTTTTTATGTTATTTCATTGTTTGATTTAAAATGTAGTTTATTGAGATTATATATTTTTTTGTTGGCTGCTCCCTTGACTTTTTAAGTGAATATAGATTGATGTGCACATGGACAAAGTCAAGGGAGTGTGCAATGCCTAGTTTGTGCAACTTGATTTTTTTTTTTTGAAGTGAAATAGGTCGATGTGTACATGGATACCGAGTTTGTGCAATTCTTTGACTTGTTATTTTAGATTTATACAAAAATCGCCGCTATACAAAGCCAAAATAACAAGTCAAAGAATTGCACAAACGCGGGTTTCCATGTACACTTCGACATCGCTAATTATCGCCAAAGAGCACCCTTAAATATATTTTTACCCATTATGTCTTATATAAAATGTAAACTTATACAATTAAAGTAAGAATCTTGATTCCTTCACCTCCTCTGTGGTGGTGGGGGGGGGGTACTGGTATAACAAGTTCAACCTAAATAATTCTGGCTTATTTTATTGCTGTACTTAACGATCACTGTGTACATGGATTCTTGTCAAATATTTTTGGTTAGAAACTTTACGTTTTTGCTATCTAAATGTTTTGTTTTTGTTTCGGATTTTTAGCTTAAATTGTGTGTTCAAAACGTGGTTTTTGCAGGTGCGAAAACCGATAGTAATATGGCACTATGGAGGGTGAGAAATTTGTCGCCAAGCAAGGGCATATATAAGAGTAGTTCCCCAATGTTATATATAACTTCTTTGATTGGAGTTATTACTTAAATTCAAATACCGAAAGATTCACTGTACAACTAATAAGAATTCATGTTATAACTCTAATCAACAGAGTTGTACAGTGATTTGCTCATAGTTATGGTTGCCAAAATTCTACCCACATGAGCTCTTTATGCTAGAAGTAAATAAACTGTGCAACTATTAGAAAAGAGGACTGCATGAGCCTTTGAACTAGCATCAGCTCAGCAAACTTTTTTATTTATTTATTTATTTATTTATTATGCAGAATAATTTGTTGTTGCAGTCCCACTTTTGAAGTTCCTGTAGTGGTAAATTACAATTTCCTTCTATGGTGTTCTGAACAAAGTATGGATAGTGCCTTTTTGTTGGAACAATCCTCATTTGGAAAATTATAAATCATGTAATCCATGCCAAATCTTTTTTTTTTTTTTTTTTTTTTTTTTTTTTTTGGCGGGGGGAGGGGTTAGCACTTCAGCAGAAAAGCAGGTGAAAATATATTGAAGGTAGAATTAGTGAATTGATGTTCATTCTTCTGATTGATTCATAATAATGCCCAACATGCACCTTAGGAGGCGATGAATTTTGTACTTGCAAGCTATTCATGTGCAATAAACAAGTGGCCATTATTGATGCACAATTACTACTGGTGCCCTGTTTACCAAGAAGTACCTATGTATTTTTGGTAATCTCTCATATGAAAAGCGTTAGAATTTTTTAACTTTTTTGCTACTAGAACTTGAATATCAGATTCTGATAATATTTAGGATTTTGTTGTAAATATTGGAAAAAAAAAAAAAAAAAATTAGAACAACAGCCAAGTGACTGAGCTGAAAATAATGATTGCATAAATTTGAAGAGAAGACTCAAACTAGAAGAAACCTTAAATTTTAAAGTAAACAACTGTAAATAGAGGTTTGAAAAAGGTTATTTAGTAAATATATTTCTCTGTAAAAAATCCAAAGGAAATCAGTTGCCTTTGTGTGCTTTTTTTTTTTTTTTTTTTTTATTTTTATAACATTTCTTAATTTTTCTTTTTTCTGCTAAGCAAAATCTAATGATATTTATTTCATGGCCTAAAATCCACACAACCTCAGGTCTTAAGCTGTGTAGATTTTCTGATTTTCTCCTCTATAATACTTTGTGGTAAAATTGTTTTATGTGATTGTTTTTTAAATCTGAAGACAATTTATGTAAATGTATGTAGTGGTAATAGGGAGTATATTATAAATGTGAATGGTGAGGACAATCAGGTCATTTTCAGATTTAAAATCCCCAAAATTATAAATTCATTATGAAGTTTTAAATTAAAATTTTACTGATTTATGTAATGGCAGAAGAAAACAAGTAAAACTTTTTATGTTATTCTTTTTTACCTTCATGATAGTAAGAAAATTTTTTTTGGTATCCTTAGGTATCCTAAATATGTCAAAGGCAATCCACAGCTCAGAATTTTTCTGCCAAACTTTTTCATGAAACTTGTAAAACCGAAATTAAGTGAGCCATCAAACCATGTGGAATTTATAGTTCCATTAGAGTATGTATATCTTCTCTTTAGTAATCTATTTTATACTCAGAGACTTACAAGATTAGAGGTACTTTCATGTTTATTAAATACATATGAATATTGGATATGTAATAGCCATGCAATATTAAAGATTTTAATATAAATTATGAATAAAGGCTTTAGAGCTATATATAAGCATGTGAATGAAGGTTTTACAGCTATAAATAAGCATTAGTAAAAATGAAAATTTATCAAAATGATGCATGACTAATATTTTGAATCTGTTATAATCTCATACACTTAGATATGGTAAATTCTTTAAAATTTGGCTAGCAATAAAATTCTTGGCAAATATATTTTTATACCGAGATACATTTAAATGAAATTCATCTTCCCCTCCCCCATTGCTATTAATGTGGTTATTTCATGAAAGGTTTGCAAATGTATAAATAACATATTTTCTTATAAAATTAACTAAAAAAACAAACAAAGAAACTTAGGTGCTTAGCTGTAGAAAGGTTTTGTTTATTCTTTTAATCAAATGGCCACGTGCTTGTGCATAGACATTTGCTGGAAAATTTATTTGCGCTTGATTGATATCTGTACGTACATTTATGCTTGCACGCATAGCCGAGAATGTTGCCCAACATGCACCTTAGGAGGCGATGAATATTGTACTTGCAAGGTAGAGAAGAAAAAATACAAGAAGCCATTTCTTATTCAAGAACTGTGCCGTTGATTTCTAACTGGGAGTTAACCTCTGATAATTATTACAGTTTAGTATGGCATTTAGACAGACATGCATATTTTATTAACTGTAAATACATGAAAGTTAGTGGTGGAGGAATTTATTTACTCACTTATTTTACAGATTTAAAATTAAAAAAAAAAAAAATACTTTAAAAGTTGTGATGAATGGATCTTAGCAAACCCAAGAAATTCAATGAAAGGGATATCTCATTTTTATTGGCTTACTCATGTTTCTTAAGAAGCTCAGCACACTACAGAGATTTTTGATTTCTGTAGACATAATGGATACTATATTTCTCAGTTGTGAGTAGTGTTCATAGTTTGCATTACATTTCTGAAAGTTGTTTTAGCATTTTAATGGTGAACAAAATGCTTACATGTGCTAAGATAACAGTTACACAGCAGAATGAAAAAGTTTACTTGATACTAAGTTATCAGACTTAGTTATCAGACTTATTACTTGATACTAAGTTATCAGTGAAATGTGGTTATCAGACCTTGATGATTAACAAGTGCCTTAATTATTTTAGTGTGACCAACCATTTGAAAATCACTTATAAAGGAAAGACCATAAACAGCTATCGTGTGAAATGATAAATCTTATTCTTTTAAGTTTGAAATGTGTTCAGTAAGCTGTGAAAAAAGCAGCAGCAGGTTCTTTAGCTTATCGTTTTTGTATAGACACTAATTGTCCGAACTGAGAAAATGGCTTTGGATCTGACAGCCTTATATAAAGCCTTTCATTAATAAAAAATAAAGGGTGTATCAAGCAATAATATAGTTAGATAATCAAGAAAAAACAGCATGAGCAAAATAAGGAGAGATTTGGATATTACTGTACTCGTATTTGCCGGCATATACGATGCACTGTTTTTCTTTGAAAATAGGTCTGAAAAATGGGGTGCCACTTGTACGTCGATATTCAGTTTTTGATTACATTCATTTCTGGAAATTTCCTCTATTCGGAGTTATGCGTTTTCCCCCTTGTTTCCTTGAGGAGTGTGGGAATATTACAGTTACATGGAGTTCAGTGAATGTGCATGCGCTCTCATCGATGATCACAACCGAGTTCATTTAAACTTTCCAATTTTTTTGGATGACTTTTAAGTGTGTGAAATTTCTACTGTTCAATTTTCTTAAATTTGTTAGAAAGTTATGGCTCAAAACAATGTTGGCATTGCTATAACATAGCATACGAGCTACATGTGGTTGCATATGCTAAAGAAATGGAAACAGGACTGCAGAGAGCCATTTCGGGCCATCCTCAACTGAGGAAATGATAAGAATTTGGCAGAATCAGGAAGATGATCTAAAAAAAGCAACTCGCTGTAAATATAACCTACAAAAGGGATTGCACATTGACTTGAACTTGAGGCAGAGCTGAATACTTGGATTCTAGACCACAGGAAAGCGGGATTTTCAGCCTTTCCAAAAATGATTATTCATCAAGCGAAAGCGATAGCAACTAACCGAGAGATTGCCGATTTTACTGGATCAACATCATGGTGTACAAGATTCAGGAAGAGAAACCAGCTATGTTTGCGGACTAAAACAAAAATATTGCAAAAGATGCCAGACAAGTATGAAGAAAAAATTATTGAATTTCATGAACTCATCATTAATGCACAAAAAATGAGAAAATTTTGAACTTGCACCAATAGGAAACATGGACAAGGTTCCTCTGACTTTTGATATGCCCTCACACAAAACTGTTGATTCCAAAAGTACGAAAAGTGTTACTGTTAAAACTTCTTTAAGCTCTGGAAATGAGTGTCTGGGTTTTGATGAGGAAGATTAAAAGATATTGTTTCTCAGATAGATTAGATATTTCCAGAAAGTACTACTTTGTATTTGTATTACTTTATATTTAAAATACTGTAAATTCATTAAAATGATCAGTAGTAAAGTTTTATCCTTCAAAAATGTGCATATAAAAGGGGGGTGTCTTACACGCCGGCAAGTGCAGTAATTTATTTTAAATAGCAAAGCGTCATCTAGAATTTCACATCTGAGCTCAAAAAATGTGTAGGTTACGTTTTATTAAAAGTAAAATGAATGATGCCAAATACATCCCGGTACTGGAGAAAAAGCTTTACTATTTGACTTGTTTAAAAATAATTTCATCTATCAAGACATGTTACATTGTGAGCACAATGAATAAGATCCAAAGGTTGCAGTGACATTTTCATTTATTGAATCTTAATGAAATCTATAATCTTAATGAAAATTTTCAGATGACTTTAAAACCTTGTGTTTCAAGCCATCTGAAATTTCACTTGATCTGAAACAGAAGCGAGTGCAACATGTGTAGTAAATCTGAAGCATAATTAATTTGAAGGTATAGTTTTATATTGATATCGCAACTTACAATTTAGTAAAAGCAAGAGCTTCCAAATTTAATATTACATATTTATAATAGTAAATTATCAGACATTCATATATGTAAAACTTTAAAGCAGTTTTTTTTTTTGTTTGTTTATTTTCTGATATGTTTGTTATTTCTTGCCCTAGAGAAAAGTGCTTGTCTATATTAGACTGTACAGTTTCTTACTATTTTCTTGTTCATACCATTTAAAACAGTGCTAGTTTTTTATAGCTCATAAAAGTTTTGAGTTTCTTACACAATTATTTTTACAATGATGTGCTATTGTAAATGCTTACAGTTATTACTTTACTTACTTAACATTTTTAGAGCTTAAAATTGTTTATATAAGACACTTTTATGGAAATATTTATTTTAGCAGCTGCTAAAGCTTAATATTGTCTCTATTCCTTTATTAGCTTTTTTTTTTAAACTTGCCATACTATCAAGAAGAAATTATCTTTAATAGTAGCAGTAGTTTGTTAATGTAATTAACTGTGTATTAAAATATTTATTGATGCAGAATTTATTTCTGTATCACAACCTTCAGATGTTATGATAATGTTTTGTTTATTTTTTCTTTTCAAATTTAATTTTACTCTTGACGACTGTCATACCTTTTCTTTTTGGGCATGTAGGTTCTGGATATATGTTTGCGTAAAATGGAACATGAACTAAATATGGGCATCGCTTAAAACCAGACATTTAATGACACCAACACTTTATTAACACAAGAACACAAAAACACAATAACACAAAAATAGAACCACATTTATCATTATGCTGGTGTACTGCGGGTCACTTTCTTTACTACGTTACCATCAGTCTCTTCTCTTCGCTATTAAGTCACGTGAGAGAGAGGCATTGCAGGTTGTTCAGCTAAACTGCGCGTGCGTGGTCATCATGTTATAACAAGGATCGACTTGACATTAGACTGATGATAAGCTCTCTAGACGAAGAGCTCACTGACTGACTCCATGTGCAAGCTGGGTTTATATAACTTTTGTGTTGCCTTAGAACATTCTGGTCCAAACCTGGAAGGCTCTCCATCCATTGTTGCATTTCTGTATGGGTTCGTGAATTTGGAATGATTGATGACAACACTTGATGAAGAATCAGACACAATTTATTTAGCCAGTATTACTCAGGACAGCTCCAAAATCACGTTTACCGGTACAGTCTTCTAAAAACTACTATAGACGCACTGAAACAATCAGCAGCACAGCCTTCAGGCTATAACAATAAAGACAGCTCTAGCAAAGCACCAGAGTACAGCTCCCGACTTTGTTTGGTCGTTCTTGGAACTCGACATACTTTTGAGACTCACCACGCTACAACTCTCAATGCACTTGCTAGATTTGATGATGCACTCGTTAGACTTGCGATACTTTCGACGACCAACTCCACACTGGACTGATGATTAACTCATTAGACGAGGTACTGACTATTAACTGACTCTGACTACGACTCCGCATGCAAGCATTGTTTATATAGCTTTTGGGCTAACATCGAGAACATTCTGGTCCAAACCGGTAAAAATTCATTCTAAGTCCATCTGTCTATGGCATATCGTCAAATGGGTGATATGGGTGATTTCTTGCCAAATCTGGCAACCCTGCCCTCCTTTGCCATTTTCTAGCAACCCCAAACTCGCCTTGCAGGGAAGCTAGCTTACCGTGGCTGGATGTTTTGTAGCAATATAAATGCATACATTTATTACTTTACTTATTTGACATTTTTAGAGCTTAAAATTATTTTATATGACACTTTTATGGTAAAACTTAATTTATTTTAGCAGCTGCTAAGCTTAATATTGTCTCTATTCCTTTATTAGCTTTTTTTCAACTTGCCATTATGCCAAGAAGAAATTATATTTAACCCTTCAGCACACGCGCATCACTGCGCTATGTTACTACCCACACGGGACAAATTTGACCCCAATGTTTGTTTTTCGGAGTTCATCCCCCCAACGTATAAATAAATGCATTTTCTTTGTTTTAAATGAATGTATAAATGACTAATAGCTTTGTGAAATCTGTTAAAACTTTTTTTAGTTTTAATTTTTAACCAGTTTTAATTTAAACCAGTTTTAATTTGAGATAATCTTACTTTAAGTTATACAAACATTTCCATACTGGTTACCTAAAGTAAGCCATAAAAATTGAAATTTATGCAAAATTACTAACTTATATAAGATACATATATGATTTCTTATATTAGAAAAATCAGTTTTCATATGTACATATTTTTTAAACATAAATGTTTATTATAAAGAGTGGTTTGATAAAGCACTAAAGGAATATGAAAAGGCTACATTCTTACTAGCTTTTTTACTTAAAACTCAATATAATGTCATGCAAGTATTCATATCAAAGAATAGATTCTAGATACGAATATTAAAAAATATAAGTAACACATAGGTTTTCCGCCCCCCCCCTCCTACCCGAGTTTAATTATTCAAATAATCTCGTTTTGAACAATCCTCGCATAGTGTGACAACATATTTTTACAAACAATTTCTTAGGGTGAAAGTCTGCTGCATCTACTATTCCTGCCAACCTTTTTACTCCAGTTTTGAGTTCTTTCGAGAGAGAGAGAATTGCAGCCCTTTTTAGGACATTGCTCTTTTACAAGTCCTAATGCTAAATATTTGAGAAAAGCTCTTTGGTTCATATTCACTTGGTCGTTATTTGATCGATGAATAATAAAAGCATTTATACCTGCAATATTCATTAGTTCGAAAATTACCGTTAGAGGCCAGCGGCGGCATTTTCTTGAAACAGACTAAGTTCCACATAACTCATCAACAGTATAAACCACCTTTTGTAGAGTTGCAAAAAGTTATCATTTTAAGCTTGAGCTGCTCTTTAGACAATGGATCGATTTGGTTATCCTCATGCATGGATGATAGAACAAGAACCGATTTACTCCTTTTTGGAACATATGAATATAAGAGAGCTTATGAAATAAGAGTTCTAATAAGTGCAAGTCTAGCCATCATCTTTCGCTCTGCTTGTAAATTTATGTCATCAAACCTAATACATCTCAACAGGAAGTGGAATCGATTGATAGACATTGTTATTTGAGAAACAGTTATTCCGCTTCCGTCAGCTGACCACAAATCTTTGCTTTCAGAAGTGCTGGTTTCAGCACTCCACGCAATATATTAGAAAAAATCACGTCTTCAATTCAGCTACGCTTGTCTCTTGTGCATCACATTCTCTAGAGCATTTGTTTCTTATTGATGAAATGTAAATGTTTGTTGATTTCACCAAATCTTTCATTATTTCTTCATAAAAAATTTGTAATAAACACTCAGGTGGATTTTTCAAATTTCCAAAGCTTTTTTTGACACCAGGTAAATATGTCACTATATTGTGTCCGAACGTTTTTAGAGGGTAATTTTTTACTTCAAACTGTTCCATCTTTTCAAACATAAAAATCATCTGATGTCAAAGAAGATATACTCCTCAAATCATGTGAATCATCATATTACTGGTCAGAATCAGTTTCCTGAGCACTTTCAGAAATATTATCGCACTCAGAATCGGAATTTTCAATTTCGCTATCAATTTCAATACTAGCGAGAAGAACCTGCATTCGTTACTGTTCTCGCTCGTACGTACTCATCTCAATGAATGTCTCTCTAGAAGTGAAACGTTAGTACACACGCGGGGTAGCTACAATCCCATTGCACATTCCTTCTCCGAAAACACAAAATCCCTAGGACATGGGGAAAATTCCTCTGTACGACCCCTTCCTAACCTTGATCTTGAAAGGTACATGAAGTATTAGAAAGGTCATGTACGACCTTCCCTTATTTTCTAAGAAAAGACTACACGTGGGGTAGATTTTACCCCAGCGCGTGTGCTGACGGGTTAATCGTAGCAGTAGTTTGTTAATGTAATTAACTGTGTATTAAAATATTTATTGATGCAGAATTTATTTCTGTATCACAACCTTCAAATGTTGTGATAATGTTATATTTAGTTTTTCTTTTCAAATGAAATTTTATTTAATACTTAGACTTTGAGCATTAATATTTCACATATCTTATACAGAATGACTTCTGATGATGTAAAAAATTATCTTGAAAAAATTTACAGTGTTCCTGTTGCAGAGGTGAAAACTGTTATTTATACTGGTAAAAATATTTTTCTTTGAATTATAATTTAAATATTGAAATATGAGGTTTTATGTATTCTTTTTATTTTTTGAAAATTTGTATCAGATTATACAAAGCCTATTTAAAAAATCTGAATAAAATGAGTTATTTTTTTTTATGTATTTTATTTATTTATTTTTACTTTGTATCAGGTTATACAAGGCCTATTAAAAAAATGAAGTTTCCCATGGAAACTAATGAAGCATGGGAGTTGATTTTTAGTAGTAGACATAATTTTTTCCTGTTCATATATGAATTTTCTGTCTGTGTGTAGATGGATAGCATAATTCATTTAAAGTAAGCATGCTGTAATTTAGCATAGTAAATGCTAATTTAATTTTAATTTACTGCAAAATGACAAAGCAACTCGGATGGTTGTATTGCATTAAATTGTACTAGATGTTGCATAATAATTAAGCTGGAATTCTTTGGAAGATTTAGTGATGATGCTATGGGATAGCATAAATTATGAAGTGGTACAAATGCTTCAAGGATGGCCAGATGTCAGTGGAATGCAATTTGTATTCAAGTAATTCAGGGAGCCAAAATAATCAGATGATTGAATTATGTGCAGATTTTGGCCATGCAGGACTATTGTGTCACCACCCTTGAGCAAGATGAGCTAAGCATTCGATTTTGAGATAGGATTTAACTATGCAAACAGTGTTTGTAAAATTCATTTCAAAACTACTGTGATAGATGAGAAACCTGTGTAGATGTAGCAAAAATTATGCTGGTGTCCACAGATAGAGATCCTGAAGAGCATTATCATTGGTGAATTTCAGATTTATGGGTATCATATGAAACCAAAATGTTGTCACAGCACAAACAATATATCATTCCCGAGGCTAAGGAAAACACAACAGGCTTGCAACTGAGTCATGTTGACCACATTTTTTTACCCATGAAAGTTGGCGTATTATGAGTATGCACCACAAAACCAAAATAATATTGCAAAAAAGTGCTGCCTATAGGTTTTTGTTCTTCTAGTAATAGCATTCTTCCTCTAGACAGCAAACACTTGGCACCTCCATCACAGCAATGCACCTGCTGCTCATTCCTCACAATATAGGTTTTCTTGGCCAAATGCATCTCTCATTAGGCTGTCTTATCTGACATGCTTCTTTTTTTTTATGTTTCGTAAGTACAAAATGCTATTGAAATGATATTTTAGTCACAAGAAATCATTACGCAAAATGCAATAATTTGACTGTTCTCATTCCCAAACAGGTCTTTCAGAATTATTTCCAATAATGAAAAGACCAGTGAGAGAAAGTTTGTTCCTATGGAATACATTTTGAAAGGGATTAGAGTTTCAGATCTTCAGTTAAATATTGTTTTTCTTCAGAGGTTAGATATTTTTTAAATAAAATTTGCATAATGCTCATAAGAGGCATTTTATGACTGAATTAAAAGTGATCAATTTTGTTGAATAATGCAATAAAATCATTTCCACAAACAAACAAATATAAAATCCCATTTTACTATGCATTGGATGTTAATCTCGGAAATATTTTTGCGAATAATATTGCTGAAAAGAGGCTAATTTGCTAATATTTCATTACAAAAATTGTGCCATAAACTAAAAATCAATGTTTTCTGCTTAAATTCACTTTTCTTTTGTGATCTTGATTTCATTTATCTGTTTATTTATACTAATAAATAAATAATTTACCTAATCTGATATACCAACGTAACTGAAGAATTTTGATATTGGATATTTGGTGTATCTGTGCTTTGCTTTTTGCTTTGCTCTTTGGTTTTTACTGATTACTGTGTGCAGTTAAAAATGCAGTATAAATGTAATGACCTTTTTGAGCTCAACATCCATGGTTTCAAACTGATTTTTGTCTTTTATAGAAGAGATTCTGTTAGAGAAGATAAATGCTAATGATAAGAATAATTGATTGGCATGATGCATATGTGCATGTTCAAAACTGTTGAAGTTTGCTTAAGAAAAATTATGTGAAAATTTGGTATATTGATTTACTGATATAGTTATATTGTTGTTGTCTTGTCCATGCATTTCATGGTAGGATGGTTGCCAGAGTCTCAAGAAGGTTGGACTTCTACTTCCACCCCAGGTTTGAGGGAAAGCATCCCAGGGGGTGGTCCGAGGATATTCCACCCCTGTACCCTTCCACCAAACCACACGAGAGGACTTTCAGCTCGCCATATATTTAGAGTGACCCCATGCCACAAAGACACTATACATTCACAAACATCCATGCCTTCTCTGGGATTCGAACCCAATCCCTTCGATACTGCAGTAGGCGTCCCGGATTATACTGTCTGGGTGGCATATAGTTATATTAATAAGATTAAGAAATTGTGAATTGTGTAGCATCCTGTAATGTCGAATACCAATGGTCAAATGGATGCGATTGCTGAATATTGATAGTTTGACCAAAATTCACGTTTATACAATGGGCTCATATTTTCCTCTTTTGAAACTCATAGGCAAGAATTTAAGGGGACATAAAGATGTATATTATGCCTTCACCAGTAAAGGTGCATTCATCCATGAATAACACATGTTCACTGAAATCAGGCTGTGCTGCTAGCTGTTGCAAAAACCAATGTGCAAATTCAATATGTAGTGCATAATCTGCAGCTATCAAGGTTTACACTTTCTGTACATGGTAGAGGCATAATCCTTCATCTCATAATACTCGTCAAACAATTGAGTTAGGCGCATTTATGTCACGGGAAACCTCTCACGTGCTAATATTCAGACATTGTTCCAGTCGTTGCAGAACGTCCTCTGCAACTTGTGGCATTTGCAAACTCCTTCCATGCATGCTACTTGACAAAGGAGCCTCTTTCACGCAGGCACCGATGCAATCGCCCGAACATCTTTTGGTCTGGCACGTGTTTTCTTGGGAAAACACTGCCTGTACAGTCTTTCGGCTTTCAGAGTATTCCCGTTTGCAAGATCATACATAAAATGCATGTCTGCGTTTTCCTGATTAATACGTTGACATGCATTCTGAAATTCATGCTAGAAATGACGATGTGTAAGAAAACTCGTGCTTCATGCTTTCCACTGCAGCGCTGTCTAGCGGTTCACCACTTGCTCTCTGCCCTTGCATTCTATGGTAAAAATGGCTTCTTTAGATGTTTTCTATCATGCCTTAAATTTTTGCCCCTGAGTTTCAAAATACCATGTATATTATGTTAATATGAGACAGTTTCGCTTAGAAAATCTTCGATGAACCCATCCATCTGCTTAGGCAGATAGATAACTCTAATTTGCTTTGCTGTAACCAAATAGCCTAATGTAATCAAATCACTGTAAAATATACTTAGTTGTCTGATACTGTTATTTGAATAGTGTTTTAAAATACAGTAAACAGATCTTATGTGTAAAGATTAGAAATTAGGTGAGCATCACATTGTAAATTTTGTTTAAAATTCAATGCTTATTAAAATATTCATCTAATGATGTCTGCCTGTGTGTTTTCTTTAATCTCACATTTTTTAAGAAGTTTGAACTTCATAGAGTGAATAAATGATCTTATCATTTTATAAATTGTGACATAGTTGTTTTAACTTACAGAAATTATAATTAATGGAAAAATAGGGAAAAGAAGATGGTTTTACATATTTTATTTAGTAATTTCAGAAACACTCACAGCATACTGAAATACTTTCTGCATCCAAGAAGGGGCCCCCACCAGTGGCTGATTGGTAGAATCGCTGAACATCAGTAGTTACGATCTGTGTTTGATTCTAGGTAAAAAGGTTGGCTGCATGGGCATTTTTGTGGTTCTCCCCTTGTGTAACATGTATACGGACCAATTTCCCTTAGAAAGTCTTTCATGAAGGGGTCCCTTCCCTTAAGCAGGTAGCTCATGTGTGCTTTGTTATAATCAACCAAACCAAATTTCACCAGGTCCAAAGTTAGCATACTTGATTTTTCTCATTTTGTAATAACTTCTAAAATAATTTGAAATGCATAAGGTAATGTTGCCATTTTATTACTATTAACCATTTATTTATTTGCCAACAGCACCATTAATAACTTTTAATACTTTTTCTAAATTTAATTGCTTCTACATTTTTGATTTTTTGCATATCTTGATCTGATATTGACTCCTCTGATATTTCAAAATTTCGCCTTCTGATTTATCCAGTAAAATTTGTTGTCACATGATGTATATGACTTTATTGTTTAAAAATTTCATTTGTTATTTTCTTTAACCATCTAGATAGGTACAGGTAGAAATGCCCTTCCTAATGAATGAAAAGTTCTGAAAATAAAGGTGAAAATAAGCACTTATACAAACCTAAAAACTAAAATGTGGTGCTCCTGCTGGTGAAGTTCATAACATAATGATCTTGTTTTAAAACATGTGAGAAATATAAGAAAGAAACTCTGTTACATAGTTGTAAAGGATCATTGATTTGGTATGAAGAGATCTATTGTGCTCATGGATGCGTTAAATAGTTGCTTGTGCAGCCAAAAATGTCTTAATGATGTTTTGTTGCAACATTTGGTGAATAAGGACATTTATAAGAATATTGAAATAAAATTCAGTGATTAAACAATACATATTCAGAGTTGCCAACTCTCCCGATTTAGGCGGGAGACTCCCGATTTTCGACCGCTCTCCCGCCAACCCCATTTACAATATATTTCTCCCGACTTTTTCTTATTCTTAATATTTCTCACGATTTTTATGGAACTTGGCTTAATACTTCGTTTTATGAACAAACAAAAAAAAAAAAAAAAGTGATTTTGGACGTCTGAAAGCAACTGAATTTTCTCTAGATTATATCTAAAATGAAACCTTGCGAATCAGATGAGAATTTCTGCTTTGTGATTGACAGCATACGTATCCAGCAACGTCGTTCTCCAGTTGTCCAATGGGCATCGAGCTCCACTGCGTGTCATCTGGCATATATTAGCCAATGAGCACAAAGCAAGCTCAAGGCCATTGGCCGTTCTTTGGATGTTCTTTCGCTATTTCGTTTATCTTGTCCTGAGTTGTGTGAGTACATGTGCCTTTAGGAAATAGTTTTAGAAATTATCGTCTTTTGATATGTCTGCGAGAAAGGTGAAATACTCGTGCACGTTTCAAAAATCGTGCACAGTTGACTTTCCTTCCATTATTTCTTCAAGGAAATGTAATGAATTTGCGATGTGTACCATCTGTCGTTGCGATTTTTCGATTTCGCTTGGTGGAAGGGCAGATGTTCTCAAACATGTGCGTACACAAAAACACAAGGACAACATGAGTTGTTTTGAAAAAACGAAAAATTAAATTTTTCTTTGGAAACAAAAGACCAAAAAGTTGATTAATGCAGAATGTCTGTTCTCTGCCTTTTTACTGGAGCATAACAACCTGCCACTGAATGCATCGGATCACGCTGCAGCTTTATTTAGAAAAATGTTTCCCGATAGTGAAATCGCTAAGAAATACTCAAGTGCAGGACCAAAACAGGTGGCTGCAAGTTGTTAAAGAAATGGGTTTGAAAAATAAATCTTCAGTTATTGTTTGCATTAAAAAACAGCTTCGTTCTGCCTTCTCTACGGATGGAAGCAATAATACCAATTCAAAACTGTATCCAAATGTTGTTTCTTTTTTTAAATCCAGAGTCTTCAGAAATTGAGTGCAGTTTACTTTCTGACCCCCACTTTAGAAGGACATTCGACAGGCCTTTAATATAGCACAGCTAATTAATTAAAACTTTAAAAGAAATGCAAGTCCCTCTTGGATAATTGCTTAGCTCTTGGTGCCGATAATGCACCAGTAATGGTAGGCTTGAAGACTGGTGTTGCAGGCATCTTAAAGAAAGGAAAAATTCAGATTTGCAAGATTATGAGGTGCACCTGTCACCTCTTAAATTTAGCAGCTAAAAAAAAGGGGCAGCTTCTTTACCATTAAATGTGGTTATTTGAACACATTGTTGATATTTATTATTATCTTGAAAGGAGTTCTAGAAGAAAGGAAAAATTGAAACAGTTTCCAACAGCTGCATAATACTGAAATGAGAAAATTTTGGTTTTTTGTAATTTCTGCATCATTCAGCAATTCAACTGGCAGTTCTCAAATAATACTGCAAAATATAAGCGTAAAGCTGATACAAATTTCTCTCAAAAAAAAAAAATTGCTCAACACACACGAAACATTTTCCGATTACTGTAAGTTTATCATGTGAAGAACGAATATTTATGGTTTTTTTCTTCGGACCTTAACAAAAGCTTTTTGCTTTTTTTTTTTACAATACAATTCATTTTGCCATCATTCGATGTTCTTGAACACAATTCTACAAAGCAAGAATTCCATTAATTCATGTTTTGCAATCAGTGATTTATGATCTGTTTAAAGACATTTTATCAAAGTTTGTAAAACCAGTCTGTGTTTTGTCTTGTAATTCTATATATGATGTGATTTATGGTGAAACAGAAAATCAGAAGGAAGATGAAGATTTGGTAATAGGAGCTGCAACTACAAAAGTAGTGGAAGAACTTTCAGAAGAAGACAAAAATAAGTTTTATCTTCATGTTAGAAGTTACTTCTGTCGAGTATGTGATTACATACTACATAAATTTCCAGTCAAAGATGAAGTGATTTTGCATGCTAAAGTTGCTGATGTTTCTGCTCTAGCAAATGCATCTTTTTTTGATATAAGGTACTTTTTGAACAGATTTCCTGTGTTACTTCGTTTAGTCATGAAAGATGATGATATTGATGTTGCTACTGATATACTGCAGTCACAATTTTGCAGTTTACAATTAGAAAACTTGGATGAAGTTATAAAATCAGCTAGGATTGACCAGTGGAGGTTAATTGGGAAATTGAAAGGTGCTGATGGAATTTTAAAATATAGTGAACTCTCTAGAATTATGTTGGCCATCTTGACAGTTCCCCATAGTAATGCGGAGTGCGAGAGGATTTTCAGTGTTGTTGCGAAAACGAGGACTAAATTTAGACCTAATATTAGTGATGACACATTAGAAAAACTTTTATTAGCGAAAGCAGGCCTACGTGGCAATTGCTATGAACAAAATTATGAAATTTCTTTCTTAACGAGAGCAAAATCTGCCACTGTCCATAACATTTGTATGAAAACTGATTAAAGTGCCTTTTTTTTTTTTTTTTTTTTTTTTTTTTTTTTTTTTTTTTTTTTTTACGATGAAAGTAATAAAAATGTTTTTAATGTCTAAGGTATTTTTGTTTTGCTTGCATTTAAGACTTAGTAACTATTTAAAGTTAATTCATTATTAAAAACTATATTTTTATCATTTAAAAAGTCTTTTTTAACATTGTGAAAAATCTCCTGATTTCTTAAAAAAATCTCCTGATTTTTGAGTGTCATAGGTTGGCAAGTATGCATATTATAGCAATGCAACTTGTTGACATCAATAGATAAAAGAAAACATGCAACTAGATTCACTGCTTACAGTTTAAAGTCAGGCTTGTTTTAAGAAGTCATCATTAGCCACAATACACATTTGTGTTACATTGTAATGCATGCACTTTTATCAACATGATAATGTCACATATACTTGATGTTTTAAGTAACTGGAGAAGAAACCATCAGGGTTGAAGTCTGATATGGAGCTATCATTAATGGACCAGCATGTTTGATATCTGATGAGTTTTTTTTGAAAGATTGTTCAGAGTCTTATAATACCTCAGTTGGTTTAAGAACCTGTCATAATGTTATACCAGTAAGTCTGTGCAGATGATGTTGGAGAAATGTATATTACTCGACTTTGTTCATAGTCACATTGTTGTATCTGGTCTTGTGGCAACAGTTCATGTTGCTGTGTGAATGGCATTCTACGCCATACCCGTGCAGTATTTGCAACATATGTCCTTGTGATAAGCCATGTACAGTGTTGATATTTGTCTGCTAAGCATTTGGTTGCTGTTTGATGGGCTAGCTGTTGCATATACCAAACCATCCTCTGCTACTATATGTGCATCTGCTTGTAGAGCTCTTGCAGCAGACATCATCTTGTAGGTCAAAGTAATTTTACTATAGCTAACTATTCTATTATAGATGTAGTTGGCTCTATTCATCAGGTATTTAAGGAGTTTTTGTGTGTGCCTTTGTGAACGTAAAAAATTTATAACTTACATAATATATAAAAATATATTTTTGAATGTATTTACACACATACATACACATGTACAAATCTTTCATTTTTGATTTCTTTGGCTATAATATAGTCCTTTCTAACTTTCAGATAGCATGTGTTGTGTATATTTAATCAATGGATAAAATGAGTTTAAATTATATTATGATTATGGGACATACCGATAACGTGGCCACTGACGAAAATGCTATATTTTGCTTGAAAATGGTGCTTTTGAATACAAATTTTATTTTAAAAGAATGTATACATGTTTTTTTAGGTGATATCAAGAAAAATCATTGCAATTATTTGGTTAAAGATCCAGATTATAAGAAGGCATATGTTACTTTAGTAAGTAAATCATAATTAAATTCAAATTTCAATTCTATTGCATTTATTTATTTAGAAGATACTGCCGGTGAAAACATCTGCATCAAATTTTCCGGCATATCTTGAATCCTGATATGAAATTCGGCTTCCAGTTTTAAGTTTTATTAATTTAATCTCTGATTTTTATATTTTTAAATTTCCATTCCCATAAAGCTTTCCAGAAACATCTTAGTTTACTTTTAAATTGTTTGTGTTTGAATTTTTTTTTCATTTTGTTTATAATGTAGTAAATGAAATATTGCATTTCTTATAGCCATTGTTAATAAAATAGTTTTCTTAAAGAGTTACAGAGGGTGTTTAACATATTTTTAGAATGATTTTGGGTTGTTTAATTAATGTTAAAAATGCGGAGAGTATTTTTTAAATGTTCCTTTTCTGGACTGTAAATCTGCTTCATGATTTCTATAATAGAAGAGCTTTTTGTAAAATTTTCAAGGGTGTTGATTTCCATTCCTCTTCCATTACTTTACAGAATCCATCAGTCATGATGGGCTGGTGCTTAGAAAGAACTCAGGAGACCAAAGGCACAGTAGTCCATAGGTGAGACAGGGAGATTTTGGGAAAAAAAAAAAAAAAATGTAATACCATATCAGTCTTCATTTTTTCAATGAATAGAGTGATAGTTTTCAAAGTGTGGCCCATTGCTTTGCCTTGATGAAGTTTTACTCTTTAAAAGTCATTGGGATAAAGAAATGGGATTTCTTTTGTAAATGACGGATGTAAAGTTTTCCTTTCATAGTACATTGAATTGATTTTAACATTTCCCCCTATTCTTCGTATTTTAAATTTTCCATTGTTAGAAAATGTTGTAATGATCATAAACCCCTTTCTTTGCTTTGATGGAATCAGATTTGTACATTTTTTTCTCTTTGTTTTTCATAATAGACTTTTTTTTGGGGGGGGGCTATCATTTAGTCAAATCCTATTATTTTATGTATTGTTGCTACAGATGTGTTTAAAACTTTGCAACAGATCTCTGGTTCAGTGAATTTTCTCTTGTTCCAACAATTTTACTTTAGAAACAATATATACTTTTTATGAGTTTTTTTTAGGAATCTCCATTCCATGCGGATGTAATGATTTGTTTTTTTTTTTTTTTTTTTTTTTTTTTTTTCTATTTCTGATTAATGAAGTTGCTTATTTTGCACTTAGAAATTTTAATACCATTCATTTCACAATATTTTTGAGTTATGGAAAGCAGAAAGCTTAGAAAGATATCTTTCAATCCACAGCTTGTTTACATGTGACATTTTGAAATAAGAATAAATTTAAAAGTAGCAAACTGTATTTCTCATTTCAAATAATAAGCTGTTGCCATAAATTCGAAAACGTGCTTTTTTTTAAAATTCTTTATCAAAATCTCTTTAAAAATATGTAAAATTCTAAAATTCTGTAGAATTGTGCAAAAATGATTTTGAATTTTGTGTTTTATATTTTGCTTTAAACTAGCCAGAAGATATGAAATTTCAGTTTCCCGAAATTTATCCACAAGAAAAGAAAGCTGAACTCAGTAAGCAAGAGCAAAGATTAGCAGATCAAGCTAAAGATCTAATGAAACAAAGAAGGAGAAATTGGGATAGAGCCGATGTTCCTAGCTGGTTTGGAATATAACACATTGAAGTTAGCTGGTGTAATATGTAATATATAAGCTATTGAAGTGTATTTTATAGTAAATACAAATAAAGTAAATAATTGTCTTGATTTTCAGACTTTTATCTTTTTTAATTTTCTCCATTTAAAGAATAATATCTTTTGCTCTTTTGGATGAATATTTGCAGCAGTTCACTTTTATTGCTATATGTAATATGTGGGATGTTTATTCTGTAAGAAATTAAATATGAGTTGTATAAAGCATCTAAAACACTTATACATTTAGCTTGTGCTTAGAAGTAAAGTTACACATAGCTAGTTATCTTCAGATTTTATATTTTGGTAATAGTTGTGCATGTAAACATTTTGATGAAAAATTATTGAGATTAAATCTTTGACTAGCTTAAAACTTGTCTGAGAAACTGTCATGCATTTTGAAAAAAGCAAACATAGAGCCATAAAAATGCCCAGAAGTATTCCATAAAATCGGCTTCAATATCTAAGTTGAATATTGTCATAATTTAAATGTAACATGCTGGAAAGCTTCCGATCTGTATAAATAATATGTTTCAATAATTATTTTTAAGTGAATGATTTGTTTGTCACAAGTTGGTTAAAACTAAGACTGTATTAAATTTTTAAAATTAGGTAAAAAGGAAGCATTATATTAATACTGCTTTTGGTAGTCTGGCATCATCCGAAAAGCCTTTTACACAGGTCATCTTGTGAATTGTACCAAAGGCTCATTGTTATAAGAACCGTAATGCAAAAAATACCGTCTGGAAGGTGAAAATCCTGTTTGCAACAAATGCAAGTTCCTTGTGTCAAATAAATAAATATAAGTCATGGAATTTAAAAATTTAGTGAATTCGCACTGTTCAAAGGAGGGAAAAGGCAAGGCCCGAACCAACAATACATAGTATCTGTTGAATATCATTCTCAGTGCTAGAGTGTCATGAGTGAAAAAGTGGTTTTGAATCTTTGTCTTCAGTTAAGTAAATATCTGTGTTGTTCTTAAGCTAGCAATAAACTTTTTAAAAAATATTTTCTTAAAAATACTGACTCTTGTTACAACACCACCCTTTTTGGAACTTAAACTGACATCTTCGACTCCAGAGATCGTTTCATGCATTAAGCAGTGGTTCCCAAACTTTCCCGAAATGCAGTGCCTTTTTTTAGTTAAAATTTTTCCATGGTATGCTGCCATATGTAAATGTATGACATATCGTAAGTAAGATAAAAATAAATAAAAAAATCTGAAAGGTTTCAGATTTTAAATTGTGTGCTAAGGGACCTTTTTCAATGTTTTGTGTGTTACCTTTATTTATTAAATATGTTCTACGTACTCAAACTATAAAATTCAGTTTAACAGCAATATCGCAAATTAATTTTAAAATGAGCATACCCTTAGAATTTCTGATACAGAGTCGCACGCATTGGAGATTAAAATGTTTTTCGTACAGTATTGCCATTGCTGGCTCTGAAATTGTTGAATTTTTTAATAAAAATTCTATGAAGTGTTACAAAATCTAAAATCAATAATAAAACAAATTTCAGATTCAAATTAGGGCTTCCGCATGTCCATATTCATTTGAAGATTTCGTTATTCAAATTTTGATGGCTCTAGGTACTGTTATTTTATTCCTTAAATCCTTGCAAACATATCATAGTTTTCATTTTGAAAGTATTTCTGAAACTAGATAATTAGCTGTGATAAGTGACCTCCAAACATGGATTTTATATCCTGAGAAAGATCAAGTTCGTTTGACGTCAAAAATTGCTGCAATATTAAAAAACAATCTTATTACTACATCTACATCTTATTAAATTACTACATCTTCATTCAGTTTTCTTCTCCATAGTTTGAGTTTTTTATGAAAACAAATTTTCTGTTCACTTCAAAAGGTGCATTTTCCCCCCTGCAGAGAGAGATTACGCGAAATTCAGCTTTTCAAAAATGTCCCATGAATATTAAGTTTTATTAAAAAATCAACATCAGCAATATCTTCTGCATCATTGCATCCTTCCTCTTTAAGGGAAAAAAAAAGTTCAAATTAGTTAGGTTTAGTTCAAATCATTTTCAAATATGAATACATCAAGAATCTCGAACAGGTTCTGAGTATTCGCTTCTGCAATGATATTTTTATAAAACAGAAGGTTTTCTTTAATATTATTATCATCTAGAAACTGTCCATAGCATATTAAATGAGCATCATTATTATTACCCGTAACCTCATGTAACTGTAATTCTAATTCCATTCCTTTAACCTTTTCAATTAAGCAATTGATTGTTGATCAACTTTGGAGTGGCAGCCCAGGCAGGAATCATAATAGGCATTATAATGGCAATGTAAAACTGGTGCTTCCTGTAAAGACCAGAATTCTTTCCGAGTAACACTTGTAGCAGGTCGGCAGTAGCACCAGTTTTACGTGCAGCGTACTTCATGTGCATGTTCCAAGTAAGCCTCTGATTTAAATAAACCCATAGATAAATGATAACTGGCAGCTGTTGTCACATAGTACTCTGGAATGATAAAAAATAAAATAAAAGTGAGTATTTATGATCTTTTTTTTTTTTTTTTTTTTTTTTTTTTTTTTCCCGCCGAACTAGACGGAGCTTTGATTTTGAGGGCCATTGATAAAAGTTCTCCGCTATGTGGACACTATTTCTCAATATTCAATACAATGTCCTGCAATTTGCTAAAAGCATTGTGTTGTGGAGATGATACCAAATGTTATGGCAAAGGTTACGTTTGGTACATAGCATACCATCTCCAAGATTAAGTACGGAAGATTATTGAGTGTGCCCAATAAGCAAATAAATTCCAACTAAAAATATGCATCTAATAGGTTGTGTAAATGCAATAACCAATTGTTAAAAAATGCCAGAATTATCCCCCATTTGACTGGTTACAGTCGAAAACATCGCGGACGAAAACGTCGCAGAGAAAACAACGCAAGGCGAAAACGTCGTGCTACAAAACGTGGTACAAAACGTCGTCGAAAATAAAGCTGTTCAAAAACATCGTCGTCGAAAATATCGTGGTAAAAAATAAAGTATCTACAAATCATCGCATGACGATAACATCGCAGTTATACTTTTTTCAATGCTTTAATAACTGTAAAATGGATACTACCCGTAATGATTTATGATGCGCAAGATGGAAACAACGGATAATTTTTACTTTCATATTTTTAATTAACTAATAAATTAATTGTTGAGAAATGTAAGAATGGAAACTTAAGCATAGAAAAGTAATGCAACTTGTAGCACTTAATAGGAATTTTAGATTACCGACATTAGTTAACTAACAAAGGCCATTAATAAATAATTTTTTATAGAGTTTTTACTGGTAATTTTTCATGAAAAGATAATCTATAATTTGCGTTTAATTTTCTATGCTTAAATTTCCTTCTTACTTTTTCAGCAAAAAATATTAATTAATAAAAAAAAATGTGACAGTAAAAATTATTCTTCTTTACATCTTGCACTCACAGATCTTTATGAGAATAACCATTTAATAGTTATTAAAACCTGAAAAAGCATGTCTGTGATGTTATCGCCATGCGATCATTTGTAGATACTTTATTTTTTACCATGATGTTTTTAAACTGCGAAGTTTTTGAACCGCTTTATTTTTGACGTTTTGTACCACGATGTTTTAGAACTGCGATGTTTTCTCCCACGACGTTTTGTAGCACGACGTTTTCTTGCGTTGTTTTCTCCGCGATGTTATCGGCGGACATCATTTGACCTAATATTTAACAACATTAAAACAGTTTTACTTACCTGTATAGTGCCATTTTATTTTACCTATGAACACACCATAAGCACCTTTTACACAATTTGCTAATTTTATTTATTAGTAGCTACTAGATTAATTTGACTAATTTCTTGATTATATATATCATTTCCATCGTTACACCAAAATTGTCATTCATACATTGACCGTTCTTTATCGCGTACCATCACAGAGCTGAGCACGTGCAACGCTAAAGAATCACAAGAATTATGATGAGACAAAAAATATGTTGCAAAATTACGTTGAAGTATTCTTTCTTTAAAGCACCTGTATTATTTTCTGGAAGCACGAAAAACCTGCTCGACGTTACACTTGAAGCACTTCACACAACACATGGCACAAGGTAGACAATGCCGGTTGGACACCTATTTAGGAAGACGTTATGTTTCCAGGAAAAGAAGCTGTTTTCTTGGAATTGCAGTTAATCTCTGTCAGTTCTGTCAGACTGCGATTATGCACATTATAGCACTGTGAACTTCTGAATCATTTTTTGTAGAAAGATTGGAATCTGAGAATTTTTACGAAGTATCATCCTTGAGTGGTACTGGCAGCAGGAAGACGTTCTGAAGATTTCCAGTGCGTTGGAAAATATTAGCACTGCGGAATGCATGGGTTGAAGATGCCAGACGGGTTGCCGGCCAGATGGAGATGAATTGACGGGAAGGCTCTGCAAACATAAAGCTGGAGATCCCATTCCATTCCCGGTGCTTTCCCATATTTTAAATTCTTGATTATGCTGATAATCTCAGCAGGGGTAGTGAGATTTGATCCGTTCAGTATAGTTGAAGTGTTGAACCCAGCATCAATTTCCATTTCAAACTCATTACAAACGGACAATATTTGGAAATACTTATAGAGACAATATTTGAAGTAAATTGCCTTTCAAGACGCCTTTTTTCCACATTTGAGTATGCAATATTACTGCTTCACTTTACCGATCGCACGCTCTCATGTTTCCTCCTTATAGACTTCGTGAATTGCTAGAAAGAAACAGTGTTGAGTTCAATGACATTCTTTTCCCCTTGCTTTTTTTGAGGGCAAGAATTTTGGACATAATTTTTTTGGAAATTCTATTTGGTTAATACTTAAGATATTTGCCACCTTCTTCTGACCATATTTCGATTTTTGATTATTTGTGACAGTTGTGTCGACAACTTTGGTTGCCAGAGTTTAAATTGCGCTGGAGCTCGGCTCTGGCACTTCTTAGTTTTGGGGATAAATCATAATTTTATTCGGAGCGCACCGGTTCCCTAAATAAAAAGGCTCCGCCACTTCTTTTATGTTACTGAATGACAATTTCAGTAGAAA